ATTTTCTAAAATTTGAATTCAATTAATAATATTAAATATGTAATATATTTATTTTTATACTATACTAAATAAATATTTTTTCATTTACATAAATATTATAAAATATTTTTAATATTTTCATCATAAATAAATAAATTAAATATAACATATATACAATAAATAAAGTTATTTTATGTGAGTTTAATATTAGTAAAATTACACTATCTCATCAAAAATCTTAAATTCAAAACGAGAACTGAAAGTAGAGAGGACGAGGTGACACCTCCCTTCCTAAATTTCTATTTATGTATATATAGTTATAAAATTTAAAAATAAAATAAAAATGATCTTCTAAATATAAAAATAATAATTATTATTATAAATATCATATTTATTTTTTCACACAAATTTCTATTTATATATTTTTCTCTCTCATCCTTTTATTTTTCACATTTTTATTTTTTTTCTCTTCTACTTTTTTATTTTCTTCACTTCACATTCAGCTTTTTACTTTTATGCTTCTAAGTTTTTCTTTACCACTCTTACACTTTTATATATATTTTTTCCATAATTTCACCTTACAACATAAAAATGGTAAGTTTTTCTCTTTAGTTTTCACTTTTTCTTGAAGTAAACAAATTATTTTTATAACACATTATTATGTGTATTATTTGCTATCAATAAGTTAGTTAATTTAATATTTTATAATGTTCCATTTTAATATTAAAATATGAAGGAAAAAAATGAGATTTGAGTTTTAAAAATGTCAAAAAAAAATTATATACTCATTAAAAAAAAAGAGAAAAAAGAAGAGAATGATATATGATATATGATAAATTAAATTTTAATTTACTAAATTTAAATTTTACGAGTAATATTAAAAAACTTGCAATATAAACTATGTTATAATTTGAAATATTGTTGAATACAATTAAAACATAATTAACGACTTTTATAATATAAAATATCATAAAAAATAATTAAAATATATTTAATATCGTATATATTTAATAATAATAGGGCAATATCCCATGTGAAAAGTAAAATTAGATATTTGGAAAATTACGAAAAGCAAAGTGGATTTATCCATAATGATTATATTATAGTGTAAATATGTGATTAACGGTTTGCATTAGAACTTAATTTTGTTGAGTTTCTTGTGATGTTGGGCACTTGAGAAACTATACACAAGTTGAGTTCGTGAGGTAGAGACCCACGAAGGAGAAAAATAGGGAGAAAGCACGTGGGAAGTGTTTAAATTGTCTTGTTTGTTGTCACTATTTTCTGTTATGTTTCCTCACTTTCATCTTTGCCTTCTCCATCACACGTGAACCCTCTACTATCTCTTTCCAAAATTATAAATAAATTAACTCAATTTAATATAATCATTATTTAATTTTTTTTCAAAAAATAATATTAGTTCTCTTCTTTTTATGTTAATAGTGTTGTTTACTTGAGTAATGAAGCATGATCACCAACTATACTTCGTAACCCATAAATTTTCTAATTACTAGTTATTATGCATTGATTGTGGCTTATTTCTTTGAGTGGATTTAACTCTTGCAAGCACAAGTTCCTCGAAAAAGTGGTAACAACATTTTATGGCCACCAACAAATGTGAATGAAAACTCTTCAACTATTCTCATAAATATATAACCTTTTGCATGGTTCTTAGTTTCCTTTTATGTCATGTATTAAAAAATCTAAAGAAAATAAACACCAAAATCATTGCAACCATTTTTAGATTTGTGGTCCTTTTGGCTATAGCTCCTATCCAAACCTTCCATCTACACAAAACCATATTTGGTGGTCTCAAATGTAGCTCCTAACTTCAATAGCTACTTCATTTTTTCATTACTAATAACTAATAGATTTTAATACTATTTTCATTGTTATGAAGTTAAATTTGAACATGGCTATTTATGGTCATGTCAATTATATATATATATATACTTGAAAAACACGTTTAAATTACTTTCTCACATTCATGGTAAACTTGAACAATCGATGTTTTGGTAGGATGGTATAATGCAATTTTATTAAAATATTCCTTGTGTTTTCTTGTAAGTAAATGTTTGTTTCAGTCAAAAAATAAGTAAATGTTTGTTTCAGTAAAAAAAAAAAAAGTTATATGAGGAAGTACATAATATTAGTTTAGAATTAAAATATTATTGATTAATGCACGTGTTTGTTATTGAATATTATTAAATTTAGTTTTGACCTTTTCTTTATATATATTTGGTGTAAGCCGCATTATAAGCCTTTATTACTCGTGTGACTTATGTTGTTGGAAGGAGGCTTATCATGAGTTAAATTTCACTATATACCTACCCTTGAAATTTTACAGAGACATATTAATAATATATTAAAGGATAAAAAAATTAACCACAATAATACATAAACATTATTAATGATCATAATAATAATAATAATAGTAAAATATCTAACTTAATCTTACAAAACTCATTCAATAAAGTGAAGATTACACTCACTTTTATATATATATATATATATATATATATATATATATATATTTAAAATATTATCATATCTCTAATTATATAAGATTTTATCATATTTTTTCATCAGGAGGAGGATTTTTATCATACCCCTTCACTTTAAGGGGATTTTTTAGGATTGATTATGATCCATCTTAGAAATAATGAAAGTATCTAACTAAATTTTATAAAACCAACTTCGTATAAGATTGTACTTTATGTAATTGATTTAGAATTTCATCTTAATAAAACAAAATGACAATTCTACTATGATATGGAAATTTTGGGACAATTAAGTCCTAAAATTTGTAAGTTTCTATTTTTAACATTAGAATTTAAAACATGTTCATTATTAAAATCTTCAAAGAATATATTCTAATTTGTAAGTATTTCCTAATTTTTCAATTCATCACTTAAAGAATAAGAGTTCTTAAAATATGAAAAACAAAATTACTCAAAATAGTTCAACCCAATCTGTTATGATCGTATGAGCTAAGTAAAAAAATTAATCGTCTAACATAACCTCTATTTTAAAGCGATTCAAAATTTTGAGTCTAACTTAACCCTATGTTAAGCCAACGTGTTAAGAGACGAATTTTGGCATAATTTTTTGTTTTTAAATGTTAATATATTTATACTAAATCAATTAATTAAAAAATATTTAAATAAATAAAATATTTTAAAAAATCAAATTATATTAATAAAATTAGTTTTTATTTAAGATATAATCATTTATTATATAAATTATAATAAAATATATTTATTCAATTTCAAAATAAGAATTAATAACTTACTCTTTATTATTAATATTTATTTTTTAGTAATTTATTAATATAAAATAGTAGTTCATCTTAATCATCATAAACCCTAAAATATATATATATATATATATATGTATATAAATAATATTACTTTAAATTTTATTTAAAAATGATTATTACTCTTTAAAACAAGATACATCAAAAATCTATAAATTAGTCTTGACATAAATCTATATAAGCAGGACCAAAATAAATTTAATTTAATTTAGGTTACAATTTTTTTACATAACCTAACCTATTTTTTTAGACATTTTGAGTCAGGTCATCGGACTAAGCCTATTTTACTACCATCTCAATTAAGGTTAAAAAACTTAGAAGGATTTAGAAGGAAAAATTATAAATAAATTAACTTTATTGTATAATATAAAATTCACTTATATAATTCATTTTTATAAAAGTTATTTTCATTTAACTTCTTTCAAAATTTAAATGATTTTAAGTATTTATGAAGAAATTTCTTTAAATAAAAGATAAGTAAATAACGTTAGTCCCAAGAAGATAAGTAATAAATATATGGTCCAAATAATGTTGTGTTAGTTTAATTTATACATTATTCTTTTAAAATAGTTTATAAAAGTATTTGATATCATTAAATAGAATGACGTGATAAAGCAATCAAATTTTATCATGTGAAATTATTCTATAAAAAATAAATTATATAAATTAAACTAATTGTATCCACTCCACATATGCAATGCAAGGAAGTGAATTTTATTTATCAGCGACAGTTTAATACATACATGGATTGGAAAGGGCCCTAAGCCCAACACAAAATCAGAGGATGTGTTGGCCTGGCCCAGATCCCAATTACTAATGATAAGATTTGTTCTAAAAAGGAGTCACAAAAATTTTACATGTATTGAACTATTTCTATGATCATAGTTAGTTGATATGTTATGTGTTACTTCTTGGAAAACTCTTGATGTTTATTATAACCTATAAACATGGGTTCTGGTTCCTACATTTGAAACTAATTTCCAATATATATATATATATATATATATATATATATATATATATATATATATATATATATATATATATATATATATATATATATATGCAGCACCTTAAACTAATGTAAATATATTATCACTGCAAAAAAAGTCAACTTTAAATTTAATGATGAAAAAAAGTTGTACAATTATTGTGAATTATATAACTTTAGTCAGATTTGACCCTTAAGATTTGATGGGCTACCCAATTCATGAATCCTATACAATTCCTTAAGATAGATGGAACTTTGGGAATGGACCAAATGTATATTCAGGTCTTCTCTTTCACTGTCAAATTTGCACAGGTCCCATTATTTGAACATCAAATAACTGATATCATATACAACTTTACTCTTATATATATATATATATATATATATATATATATATATATATACATTTCAAAAATATACCCCCTAGAGAGAAAACTAAGTTATCCCACTTTAGTTCTTAAAAATTATACATTTTTCAAAACTGGCAAGCAAATCTTTTATTTTCCAAACATGCTGGTACACGAACATGTAGTGAGGGAGTATATTGCAAAATTTGAGTAACTCAAACAAAATTTACAAGGACATGATGCATGGTGATGCTATACAACAAGAAAATCAACTCTCTTTTTTTTTTCTGCTAAATCAATGAGAATATAACTCATCAATTTCCTCCAGAGCAACCTAAAAGTGAACCAAAAAAGTGTACAGCTGCTGTCATCTTGGTCCTGAAAGCCTAGCAGCAGAAAGATTGGTATCACTGTTACAATCTGATGGTCCTGAAGAAGTACCAGCATCACTATTTGAGTAGAACCGATAACCAAGGACAGAACAAGTTGGTGGCTTGGGAACAGTGCACAGACCCTCTAGCATTTGGATAACTTTGGTCATAGAAGGCCTCAAAGACATGTCTTCTTGTATGCACCACAATGCAACTTTCACAGCAGTCTGAACCCTCTCATCATTTTCATAAGTTTCCAGCTTTGAGTCAAGAATCTCTCTCTCCTTCCCTTCTTCTATCATCTTAAAAGCAAAAGATGGGAAATGGGATTTCTCTGATGTTTCCCTTGGATCATAGTTTTTTCTCCCCCCAATGATCTCTAGCAACACCATGCCATAGCTATAAACGTCACTTTTCTCTGATATGGCACAGTTTGTGATCCACTCAGGGGCTAGATACCCTCTAGTGCCTCTAAGTGTTGTGAAAACATGGCTTTGTTCACGTGTCATGAGCTTAGCCAAGCCAAAATCAGAAACCTTGACCAGGAAGTCGTTATCTAGAAGCACATTTTCCGGTTTGATGTCACAATGAATAATCTTTGAGTCACAATCTTCATGGAGGTAAGCAAGTCCTTTTGCCGTTCCAAGTGCTATGTTATATCTCGTATCCCAATCTAACAACAATTCCTCTCTGTGCTTGTCGAATATCCATTTATCCAATGATCCATTGGCCATGTACTCATAAGCAAGAAGTCTATGAGACCCTTCAGCACAAAACCCTTTAAGCCTTACCAAATGATGGTGATGAATGCTTCCTATAATGCTAACTTCAATCCTGAACTCTTTCTTCCCTTGGCCAATTCCTTCCAACTTCTTCACAGCTAGTTCAGTACCATCTGGTAGAGCTCCTTTATAAACTGAACCAAAACCCCCTTCTCCTAGCTTCACTGAGAAGTTACATGTTGCAGTTTTTAGATCATTGTAGCTGTAACGGATTGGCATGCCAGTTAAACTCTCCAAGAAATTGTCATCTTCTGAATTCTCGTGAGGAGACTCAGGCAAATCTTGCTTTTTTTTGAAGCATCTATGTGCCACAAACAGCATACCAGAAATGATAAACAATGTTACTATCACAATGATCACAATAACTATTGTCTGCATATTGCTGCTTCCACTGTCTCTAGTGTGTCCATCACTAGATACCACCTTAATGTAGGACACTAAGCCAGAATCTTTGTCAGATTTCTCAAAGCTTCCAATCCTGTCCAATAGGAAACAGTTCCCTGAACTGCTGTTGAAGAACATAGCAAGGCATGAGCAGTTTGCACTGCAAGAGGTTTTGCAACCAATCAAATCAGTCTTTGAAGAGGGTGGAATAAACCCAAGTGCAAAGTAATTAAGTCCATCATCCGCTTTGAGGAGCTCAATGGAGCCTTTTGAGCTGCAAGGAGAGACAAAACCGGGTTTGCAATTAGGGCTAGAGCTGAGAACAGAAGGGCAGGTGCACTTTTTGTCACCACTGCATATGTTATAGGGATCACAAGGTTCTGGGGTGCTGCAAGAATCTTGTGGTATTCTTATTAATGAAGCAACAACTGCTCCTCCACTTTGGAGATTGGAGAATGTGATAAAGCCATCACTCCCCAAAACTACAATCCAAGTGGCATTTGCATCTGATTTTTCAGAAAAATTAAATTGCCACAATAAGGATTTAGTGTCATCATAGAAGCTCCAAGAGCTTGCATTAAGGGTAGCTGAAGCCACCACATCACCATTTTTGTTGATGATTTTTTTGCGGCTATCCTTCTTCATAGACCAATAAGGCTGTGGAGTTTGTGAACCAGTGGAAAGAATGACATTGCCAGATTCAATCTCCAGAACATAGGTCAAGTTGTTGGGATCAGGTTCACTGAAAAGTTTCATTCCCTCAATGAAGTCCTGCATTGGTAACAAGGTATCTGTTGGGTGGCTAAAACTCTGCCAAATCACGCTACTATCATTCCCTAGCAAAACCAAGTTTCCAGTGTCTCTCAATTCCATTGAAGAAACTTCCTTGCCTCTTGTACCTGTAGACCACACCACTCCAGGTCCTTTACGCAAATAGAGATAGCCCTTCTCATCGAACACCAACTTATCAGAGTTGGAAACAGGAAGACCCCTATTTGCAACCCAAACCACCGTGTTGCTGTCCATGTGGACTACTGCTAATAGAAACAATGTGATGTCATTTGGTGTGGTGACAAAGCCAAATCCAAATTTTTCTTTGTATGAAACAAGCAAAATGCCATTCTTGTCAATCCAATTCATTTGAGAACCTTCAATCCTCGGATAGACTTTGCCAACCTTTAGAATACTAGTGAAAACTACTTCAGACGAAAGAAGGATACACAACAAAAGGGTATCCATAACACTGAAGAAAGACCACTGCTTTCCCATGGTTTTCCTCCAACACCCTATCACTCTTTGGGGAAATTAAACGTCATGAAGGAGAAGAGGAAAAGTAAGAAACTAGGAATTCATGAACAAGAGAGAAGAGGGTTGAGAAAGACCATAACAAAAACATCCTTACAATTTCGCAAGTTTAACACGAGTTTGTTGAAAGAATAAAAGGAACTCTCTATGCTGAATTTTTCTTTTTTGACTGCATAATGGAAAAGAAATACGACACAGAAAAAGTGGCAAATATGAAAGCATCTTAATAAAGGGAAAGAAAAAATTTCCTTTGTTCACATGAAATTTGACTGACTCGACCATACTTCAGTCAGCTGAATCCTGTTCTTTATTCATACCTGGTGAACTGGAAGAAGAATATTGAAATTTGATGAATGGAGCTCTGTATATTTGTGGTAACAGAAGCTAGAAGATCGGAAGAAAGACCACTTTGAGGGAAGACCAATAAGAAGAGTGGAAATGGGTGATAACAAGTAGTTGGCAGTGCATTTATTTGGTTTGATTGTGACAAATTAAAGTAAAGCAATATCAAAAGGTTGTAGGGAAGTAGCACGTGAAATGGAAAGAGAATCATAACTAAGGGGATGCTGCTAAACTGTGCATCAGTTGAAGCAAATTATGGCTATGAATGAAGAAGTACAATACTAAGAATATAGCGAATTGTCTCTATTATGAGTATATGTCTAAGGGTATGCATACAACTGATAAAGGTTGGCTCTTGGAAGTTTAATTAGTGGATTGATTCAATTCAAACCAATCCATTGGATTGGATGGATTAATGTTTTGTTTTTTCTTAACCTCTGTGTGGAGCCAAAGATGGTGGACCAAATTGATCAACCGTAGATAAAGGGATATGAGTGCAAGGGTGTTGAAGACTTAATAGCTATGAACAAATACTCCTATCCTATCCTTCTTGTTCTCAAGACTCATTTACCTAATATCAAATACTAGCCAATAAGTGAAAAGTTTAGAATTTTTTTTATTGAGAAACATAAAAATTCGATTTTTATAAATTTTTAATCCACTCTTTTATGATTTTTAATAAAAAAATTATTTATCATTGTTCTAATAAATCTGGTAAGCAAAACCCTTACCTAATTTATAAGGTGTAAGGAACGTGATTAATTTAGTTGATAATAATAAATGTGTTAATTTTTTTTCTGAAATTTTTTCGTTATTAATATTTTAAGAATTATCAAAATAGATATAATTTAATGAATTAGTCTAAATAGCTAAAAAATTGATTGTGTTTGACTATACAAATTTAGTCATTTGTCTTGAATTAGGGTTTTTTTCACGACTTAACTTGTCATTAAATTAGATGGACTATACATTGTTTATTTTTTTTAAATAATCATAATTTTAAATAAGTTAAATATAAATTTATTTTACTAAAATTTATATTTTGATCATTACTATATCTAAATATTAAAAATAATTTTATTTATCATATATATATATATATGTGTGTATATATATATATATATATATATATGTGTATATATATATATATGGAAGAATCAAATTATAATCAATATAACTTTTACCATTTATCACATCATAAATAATTTTAAATAAGAGTAATATTTGTATTAATCTAACCTTAAATTGTAATTTTATATTATAAAGAAAATTAAAATTAAAAATTAAATATAAATGTATCATAGACTTTTAATGATATAAATCAAATAATTTTAGTTAATATGAAATTTTGTGTACATAATTTATGTGCACTATTGTGAGTCAACAAAACTCACTTGTACAAATCTCTTCAATTGATAGTCACCTTTATTTAATTTCAACAAAATAAAACAAATTACAAGTCATAGTCTTCATTTAATTAATAACCATTTAAATGACAATTTTACCTACACAAGCAAGCTCAAATAAAACACACACTTATTTAATTCCTTATCAATTGTAATGAGGTTATTAGATTCATTTACTTCAATTTAACTAATTTTTTTATTGTAAAATCACCTATCCCACTTTAAAGCCATATATGTTGGGTCAATGTTTTAGTAGTTTCAATGATTTGGTCAAAGAAAATATAAATTTCTTTTGTCTTTCATTTCCATTTTAATTTATACATTATTTTTAACATAAAATTCTTAGTATAAATTTTAACAAACATTATACAAATCAATAGTATATTATTCTTTCTCTTTCTCTAAATTATAAAGGAAACAACTCAATTGAATCTTACCACACACACTAAAATGCTACATCAACTCCTAAGGTTTAATCATGTGTATTTTCATGTTTTACAATTATTCCATTAAAAATAATTTTGTATAAATTATTAAAAAAATCAACTTACAAAAATAATTCTAAAAATCTTGAATAGTAAAGATAGGAAAAAATATTTATATTTATAAGTATCCAATTAATACGAATATCCTGGTTTACTAAAAATGGACCAATGGAGTTGTCAAGAGTGAAACATGTTATAAATCTTAATTCGTCCCTTAGATAAGTTAACCTACCAATTATATATATATATATATATATATATATATATATATATATATATATATATATATTCTTAATTATGTAAATATTTTTTAAGTATTTATTTATTAATTTTTTTAAGTAGATAAATTAAGAAAATAATATATTTGTATATTAAATTACTCAATTATAATTAATAATATTTGTGATTTAATCTATAATTTTATAATATATTTACATGTTTTAACAAATATAACACAGAAAAATATTATAATTTAAATAATAATATTTTTTATTTTAATTTGATATGTAATTTTTTTTAAAAGGAGACCAATCAATTCGTCTTTAGTTTGTCCAGGTGATAGATTAAGTACAAAGTTTTAAGTGGATTAACCGATTAAGGTGGTTGAATCGTTCCACCAAACTTAATCCATTTTTTGTTAATATTTACCACATAAAAAAGTAGTAAAAAAAACATTTTGATTCAGAAAGAAAATTTGAATAAATTCCACTCTAATTTTTTTAATATTTAGTTGGATTAAATTGATTAATTTACTTGAGTAATTACAAAAGTCACACATTCATAAAAAAATTAAAATAAATAATTTGTAATTCTTAAAAACTAACATAACACTTATGACATAAACACTATTTATCAAAATATAAATCAAAACAATAATTGTAAATTATTTCATTGCTCAGTGAATAAAAGTAAAAAAAAAAAATAGACAAGATCTTTTATTACAATATCAATAATTATTTATAATATGATATACAATATTTACTTTCTATATTCATAGGATAACATGCAAGTCCATTAAGCTAAACTTTTTGAATTTGAAATTCACGGAAGAATTCGACAAGATTCAAATAACTTAATAATGAGCATTATTCATTTTCAATTTTTAAATTAAAAATGCACGATTCAAATAACATTCTCTCTTAGTTACAACAATTTTTTTTTTATTGAAATATTATTTTAATTAAAAAAGAGAGAAAAATAATACAAACAATTTAACTCGATCATTTAACCATGTCACTACACTTTCACTTACTATGCATCATGGAGGCTTCATAGATGAAATCAAATTCTAAATAATGATTTGATTTAAAATGAACAAAAAACATTTAATTGATTAATAGTTTAATAAAATAAGAAACTTTTTCGGAGTTGAATATTCAAATATATCTCATACATTATTACAAATTAATTCCAACTACTTATAATTATGTTGGAATGTGAAATGACGAAATTGAAGGGGACAGAACAACATAAAAAAATGTTACAAAAATAATCGACCAGATCTTCATGTTCTTAACTAATACTCCTAAATTTCTGTTCGAGACATGTGGCATGTAATTATTATTTTATTTTTTGTGATTTCATGTTGAGTACTACAACTCGTGATACTTATTAAATTTACGTACACATATTTTATTAATTTCCGTGAAGAAATTATTCATTTTTTAAAGAGAATATTCAATAAAAGAAAAAAAATCCTTAATATCTTCATTGATATTAATTATTGAAGACATTATTGGATCTTTCTAAAAAAATTAACACTATAAACTCAATTCATAGAGATTGACATTATTTTATATCAAAAATTTTAAAATATTAAGTTATAAAATTTTTATATACCTTGCTCAATTTTTTCATATTTCTCAGTTTATACTTAAATTAATAAAGTTTAATTATTTATAATTAAAATAGTTAAATTTATATATATTTTTAATGATATCAATTATATTTTTTATATACGAAATATTTACTAATTTTATTAATGATTAATACTTATCATAAATTTTAACTAATTATTTTGAGTAAAGTTTTTCTTTTTTTAAACATCAATCGACACCATACGAAGGATTAAAATCATTACACAGAAAAAAAAAACATTTATCTCTAAAAATATTAAACATAATAAATTGTTAAATAAACCAAAACATAATCATTAAAAAAAAAAAACAAAATAGTGAAGGTGGCATGGACATGTATCACATCCAAACCACACCATTAATTGGAGTAATGAGAGTGAAAACAAAAATGTTGTAAGGAAGATTTTGATGTTAGGGATGAGGATGCATGAATGGAAACTTAAGGGATTTTGTTGGGTTGACTAGGTGGAGTGTAGAAATTGCTTGAGGACTCACCATGTGCCAATAAATTACTTCAATGATTGAGTGAAGGATCTTCTAGACACATGAGCATGTCACCACTCCAAGACCATACAAATTATAATCAATTTGTTTGGATACAAAAGTTATAAATGTTTTTTGAAAATTTTAAATGTTTTCTTTTTACTAAAAATATGTACTTTTTATAGAAAATTCCCGAATTTATATTTAAATAAGTGTTTTGAAATTGGGACGACTGGTTGAAGTGATCCAACTAAAATTTTGGTCTTAAAATTGGTTTATTACTTAATAAAACTAATTTTAATTAAATCAATATATTATATTTTATAAAAAATAATTAATTTAATTTATTTTTATTTTATTTTTTATTTTATCATATTTTATTTTATATTTAT